GACCCAAGGGTCAGCGAAGGGCCTCAAAGGCCCCAGGTAGGGCCCCAGAGGCTGATGTGGGCCTTCATAAGCAAGTGCGTGACGCCCAAAGGTAAGGCTTGAGCCCCCCAGAGAACATAATAGGGCCATCAGTGGCCGATGTAGAGACCTCATAGGCCAGTTTGCGGGCCCCTCAGAGGCTAGTGTGGGGCCTCAGGTGTCGCTATGAGGCACTTAAAGACCGGTATGGGTCCTCAGAAGCCGGCATCGATCCTTCAGAAGCCAGTACGGGGCCCTCAGAGGCACATAAGGGCAGTTTCGGTCCCAGAGACAGAAATGGGACCATCAGAGGCCGGTGTGGGTCGTGGGACCTTTAGAGGCTGGTTAGGGCTCTTAGGGGCCAGTTTAGAGCCCTCAGAGACCAGTACAGGGCATGCAAAGGGCAGTTTGAGACCATCAGAGACCGAATTGGGCACTCAGAGGTTAATATGGGTCCTTACAGGCCAGCATGGAGCCCTCAGAGGTTAGGGTGGGGCCCTAAAAGACCGACATGGGCCGGCGTTGGACCCCAGAGGCCAGAAGAGGGCCCTTAAAGGCCAAGATGGGTCCTCAGACTAGACCGATGCGGGCCCTTAGAGGCCGGCATCAGGTCTTCAGAAGCCCGTGCGGGGCCCTCAGAGGCTAAGGTGGGTCCTTACAGGCCAGCACGGGCCCTCAGAGGTCAGTGTGGGGCCCTAAAAGACCGGCATGGGCCGGCGTTGGACCCCAGAGGCCAACAGAAGGCCCTCAAAGGCCAAGATGGTCCCGCAGAAGCCGATGCTGACCCTTAGAGGCCGGCATCGGGTCTTCAGAATCCAGTGCGGGGGGCTCTCGGAGGCTAATATGGGCCATTACAGGCCAACATGGGGCCCTCAAAGATCAGAATGGGACCCTTAAAGACTGGCATTGGCCGGCGTTGGACCCCAGAGGCCAGCAAAGGGCCCTCAAAGGCCAAAGGCCAAGATGGGCCTTCAGAGGCCGATGCGGACCCTTAGAGGCCGGCATCGGGTCTTCAGAATCCAGTGTGGGGCCCATAGAGGCTAATGTGTATCCTTACAGGCCGGCATGGGCCCTCAGAGGTCAGTGTGGGGCCCTAAAAGACCGGCATGGGCCGGCGTTGGACCCCAGAGGCCAGCGGAGGGCCCTCAAAGGCCAAGGTGGGCCCTCAGACGCCGATGCGGGCCCTGAGCGGCCGGCATTGGGTCATCAGAATCCAGTGCGGGGGGCCCTTAGAGGCTAATGTGGGTCCTTACAGGCCAGCATGGGCCCTTAAAGGTCAGTGTGGGACCCTAAAAGGCCGGCATGGGCCGGCGTCGGACCCCAGAGACCAGCGGATGGCCCTCAAAGGCCAAGATGGGCCCCAGAGGCCGATGCTGGCTCGACATCGGGTCTTCAGAATCCAGTGCGGGGCCCTCAGAGACACTTAAAGGCTAGTCTTGGGACTCGAGAGACAGAAATGAGGCCACCAGAGGCCGGTGTGAGGCTCTCAGACGCCGGTTGGGCCCCTGAGGCCGGTTTAGGGGCCCTCAAAGGCCAGTGGAGGGCCCTCAGAGGTCAACACGGGTCCTCAGCGGTCAATGTGGACGCTTGACCGCCACTGAAGGGCCCTCAGAGGTCAGTGTAGGACCCTCGAAGACCGTATGGAGCTGTTAACAGCTGGCGTGGGTTTCTCGAGCCTCGTGACAATCGAATACGGGCCAGGGCGCCATACGGCCATGGGGGCCCATCAACCGATCAACCCAAACAACCGATGCATCGGTTGTTTGGGGGGGCCAAATGATATGATGGCCCCCCCTGATTTGCCTTTGGGGGGGGGGGGCATGGCCCTGATGGCCCCCCCCCCCCCTGCGACCGCCTCTGCATGCAATTAGTAGGTAACATGTTGAAAACGGCACGCTGAAGATGCCATCGGCCCTGCACGGAATTATGACAGACATTAAACGTAGGTAGGCGTAGGTTATGAGCTGACCTATCAGTGTCTCTGTTCCATACTTTCTGCTCCATACTTACATGGAAGTATCATACGTTAAATACATAATACATATGTCCACTTTACACAGCCAAGTTATGCCTGCACTGCATAGCTTCCCCTATAGCACACCCAGCTTGATGAACGATTGTCTTTGATCATCGACGATATATTCGGAATATGTGGTAAGCTGACAGATATTGCCTGTATGTTACACTGAGCCGAATACTTCTTGTATTGGATTACGTCCAATGCATATGTCACAATATTGCAATGAGTAATTGTTACAATAGATGAAGTATGTGGAGTGAGCAATGCTCCATTGGTCTGCGTTAGCTGCCCAAGTGTCGCTGGTATGAGGGCGGTACCGTTTCGTCCGTCACTCTCTCCAGCTGCTCGGAGACGGCACTTTACGCAAACAGGTTACCCAACCGGCGTGCCGCCGACGTCCCAGGGCGGCGGGCCGGGAGTTTTTGTCCGCCGCCCGGGAGCGTCACGCCCACACTCCGCGGCGCGGGCGGTGGCCTGACCTTGACCGGCAGCGCGCGCGTTTGAAGGCACCGCCGCCCGGCACAGAGGCCGACGGCGTGATGACGTATAGAGGGCAAGAGCACTTCGGCAGTTCAGGTTGAGCGGATTGTGAAACAATTCATTGTGTCAATTAATTTAGAATATTTCTTAAAACTCGTGATATTCTGCGACCTTTGGTAATGTTGCAAGACTACATAGGTATGTACCTATATTGCGTAAATTTTTATCAAAGGCGTTTGAAGAAGAAAAAAACATTATCTCAATCCAATAATGTCTAGTTTAGTGAGGCTATCTTAGACGACGACTGCCTAATAATCGAAGTCAAATTGTTACACTTCTAACGCAGTCGAGAAACTATTTTGATCAAAACATTTACAGCGTAAGCAAACATCAACGAGAAAATACGGTAACCATTGAAAGAATGAGTGACATTCTGTTCCCGTTCGTTCAATGGCGAGAGGAGAAAACGCCAACAAGCGAGTCCCATACCCTTCCATTCACAGGCCAGAAGTCGTAACAAACTGGCTCGGGTCACACAAGCGACAGATCACTTTCATCGGAAGTGAACAGCCATGGCCGCTCAGTGCTCAGCATATAAACACGCGCCAGCGAGCAAGCATGTCGCATGACCGCGAGCTGGAGCTCATTTTACTATAAGTGTCTGGCACAGCTAATTATCAATTAGTTCTTATAGAATTTATATGAATTCGGGTAGCACCGCATGCAAACAGGATGATACTCGTATGCTACACTAGCACTGGCATCAGGGGCGCATAATAAATTCCCAGCAACGCCTAAATTTGGAAATCTGATGAATAAATAGCATTGCCGTGGCTACAGTTCATAAGCCGATAAAGCGAAAACATACATGGTAAGACGATTCAAAAGGCGCACAGTCGTTGCTTTTATATGTGCCTTACACAAACTGTTAGGTATGCATCTATGGCGACCACTGAAGCTGTCAACCCGATAACATATACATATGTTATCGCCCATCGAAGAAACGAGTGTCCATGCTAAGCTATCACAATGTAACGAGAAACGACCATATACTCAAATTTGCCTCGTCGAAGAAATTGACAAATTTAGAACCATGAGCACTGTGCAGCTTGACGCCTATCGTAAAAATAGTAGTGCAATCTCTTTATTTATAAGGATGAAACTTAAACGGTTAAACGGAATTTACTCTGCATTAACTGCCCCCTGTTTTAGCAATAGCAATTTTAGCATGATGCATGCACCCGGTTGCCAGGTAACAGCACCTGACCTGGGAGTATACAAACGGAGCTTTTTGTTGATCAACAAAACCATTGATTGATACAAAGCTTATTGATGTTGAGCAAAGCATTGCGTACTTATCAGAACGACTCGACCTAATGCAATATGCGTGATGCTTGTTTGAACTCATTACTGAGTTAAAAACATACAGATCAATTGGCTAAGTAGGGGAAGTTGGGGGAACGCCGAAGACTTTTTTTCTGACGCCCGTAGCACGCAAGGTAGACAACATAAGCTATTCTTGTTGGCGTCATTCGAGAGGCCAGTCTTTTGCCTTTCAAACATACCAGGCGCATTTGATGAATTCGCATACCGTTAAGCGCACAAACTAAAAATATCAAAGAAGTGACTTTTTCGGCGTTGCCCCGGACTGCGGGGAAAGCCGAAAATGGGAGAAATGATCTACGGGGAATGCCGACATTGATGTTTTGCCATTTTATCTCAAACTTTATCCAGAATTGATCAAAGCTGACACGCGTTTTAAGAGCTTGAGGACGCGGTGCACACTGGAAGTTATAATTGTGTGATATAATAAGAACATGCCAGGTAAATCATTCCTTATAGGTAACAGGCCGTTGTGTCGGTTGAAAGTGTAATTTGTGTGACTAAAAATACGCGTTGCTATTCTACAGCAGTAAAGTCCACGTAGCGTGCTTTTAACACGTGCGTAATCGCACGTTTTCGGCATTACCCCAGCCTGCCATACTTTCATTTGTAGGCCCATAACTTTTCAACGTGCTGTATAAATTTCAAATAGGCAGCACACTTATGCAAAGACATGCTAAAGATTACTTGACCGAATTGGCCAGACAAACGGTAGCATAATGAGTAAGAAATGCAGCTTCAAAGGCGCATGTAGTACAAGGGAAACGTACCTTGAAAACGCTCTTGGCGCCCTCACAGTCGAAGTATTCCGAATGACGACTCGTAACAAACATGCGATAATTGTAGTCACTTAAGCTTCAGAGCATCACTGACAGGTGGCATCCATGTCTTACGGTTTTCGAAATATCTCGAATTTCGGCTTTGCCCCAACTCCGGCATTGCCCCAACTTCCCCTACGAGTACCTACAATACAATACATATCAATCAATTGTATAACAACTCCAAACGTCAAACGTAAACGGCACATGCAAAGGCGCGCCGGGTCACCGCTGCAGGGTCAGGTCACGCCGCGGCACTCACCCTGCTGTACCGGTCTCACCTGGCCTGCGGCGGCGGCCACCAGGGCGGTTATCACCAAACAGCACCTCATCCTGAGCTGCTGCGTCTGCTGCTGCGGCCGAGACTGCGACTGGCCACAGACACACTGCGACCCAGACTGCTCCGACGCACCGGCACCTAACACCGTTCGGGAGCAGCCTCCGCCGAGCAGCCAATCAGCTGGGAGCGCGCACCGAGCTGAGCAGCGCCGGCTCCGACTCAGTATATGGTCCACTTTCACTTTCTGCCGATCGCCGTGGGAGAGGCGGCCGGGCTCGTCGGCGGGGCGACCCCGCGCGGAGACGCCCGCGGCGGCGGCCGACCGCGCCCTGGGAGGGGCCGCCCCCGCCCCCGCCCGCACCGCGCCCAGACCGCCCACCAGCCGCTGACCCAGTTCCAGAGCCGTGTCTCGAGAGATCCTCTATTGAACTTGTTAAAAAATATCAGAAAAATGCCCATTGTAACATCATTGCACTCATTTGTTCAATTCACTGGGATTTTGGTATTAACTGTAAGAACTCAGAAATTATGACGTTTCACCTCAGGAAACGGGGGCTACAATGACCATTAACCAGTTTATAAGGACGTCAAGTTAATTAATGACTGAATGATCACCCCTGCTCTGGAATGTGGTGACACATCCCCGGTGCCGACAGTTCATCCTAATCTCGGCAGTCCGGCCCGGTGCAGTGCACAGTTCCGGGCTCTGTCTGAAGCCAGGGCCAGTCTGCGGACAGCCGCCAAGGCCGGTGACAGGGGCCGATGGGAGCGAGCGAAACCCCTGGGAGTGACCTCCGCCGCTCTCACACACTGATACTGAGCTGGAATTCACCATTGCTAAAGGGCAGCGCGGGGCTGCGGCGATCTGGAAGGTCAAGTCTATCGAAATGTTGGTCTAAATTAGTCAACCAGCGATCCAGCCGGTAAGTCTAGAAAAATCACTGAACCGCTGGCAGTTATGAACATAGACATATTGCTACAGGATAGGAGCACATTGTTATTAGCTTCGCTAGTCATATATGTCATGTTACCGGGGGCATTTCAGACTGCTTTGTGTTCAACCTGCCGCCTGCATTAAAAAAAAAATAGTCCGAACCTTTTGAATGCCAAGGACAAGGATTCACAAGGTCCATGCTGAGCGAAGCTTGTTGCGTTGACCCTACCCTGCCCTGCCCTCACCCTCCGATCGCGCAATTCCGATTCTATGGCAGAATTTGTAGTCTAAAGTTTAACGTGCGCACATAGCCGCGCACGGCCAGTCCCGGTCCCCCCGGATGCCACCAACCGCAACATACCTTTCAGGAGGCTTATAAACGTCAAGCGCCCGTCGCGCTGTTTGCTTGTTTGTTTTGTTGGGTTAGGCCCTTTCGGTCTGACAAAACCATTTCAGAGCAGGAAGATTGATAGGAATTAGGGGGAGACATTGGTCTGGGCAGGCACCCTAGAGAGTCGCCGGGGCTGAGCCCGTCCGAATGGACAGGCCGACCAGCCCCCCAAGCACTCACTGCACCCGGCTACGGGGTGCGCCCCCTCGGGAGCAGCGGTGCCGCTCCAAGGGAGCAGCTCGCATGAGATAAAGGTGCCTGTCCAGCCCGGAGTGGGGGGTTGCGGCGTGGAGGGGAAGGATTTCAGTATCCTGAGGATGGAAACGACGGAACGGAGCATAGCCCGTCGCGCTTCGAACCCGGACTGTTATAACCAGGAACGCGTGCTCTCACTACGCGGAGTCCAGCGCTCTACCGACTGAGCTACGTGACCGGTCAAATTATATAGTATTACACCCTACTTCAAAATAAAGGGAATGTTAATGCCGTATTTATGACGAATTATCACTATGGCTAACTCCTAACATCACGCCGGCACAATGTTGTCATTGCTAAACCAGTTGCTGTGCGGACTGTTTTAGGCATATCATATCCGTCAGCCGGTTCAAACTGACAGGATACGTCACACAATTAACATTAGCAAATAACAAGTTCTTCAAGGTCAGACAAGTCTCCACTAATTTGAAAGTTAGTTCAGCTTTAGAGCAGCGGCCATTGTCTCAGAGCTGGAAACAATTCGTGGCACGCGCCCGGAACGGGGACACCGGACGGGGACGGGGACATCTGTCCCAACTGGTGCACACAAGTAATCGCCTCGTGCTGACGCGGCGGCTGGGTGTTATCTCTCTGCTTTATCTGTCGACGAATTAACACTTCTTAAGTTCTTTTATAGTTTGTTTGTAGTATAGGAAGACATTCTTTTGTCTTTATAATCAGGAGGTTGGTCCGCCTTTAGAAAGGACTACGCGAAGGTGTCGCGTTATCGACGAATACGATCTCGCCATAACTTAGCGACACCCATAACGTAAAATGGTCATATGTTCGAGTCTCAAAGGACCGTCACCCCTGCTCTCTCCGAGTGTCGCCCGGCTCCGCCAACGTGGCGACTTTTTGTGCTTGTGGACTCTGCAGTTAGCATCACAATGGTATCGCCGGCCGGTGATAAGCCCCCTGAAAGAACGCCGCGGGCGCAGTTGTCAGTCGCCGGCGGAGGGTGTACCCTGTGGACCTAACGCGGGCCCAAAGTGATCTGCGGACGGGGATTCGGACTCTGTGGATCCAACCTGGACCCAGGCGGTCCCTCAGCTAGTTCTGGACCCGGTGGACCAGATTCAGACTCGGGTGGTCCCGAAGACGGTGATCTGGACCAGGCCCGGACCTGCAGTGCACCTCGGCCTGCTCCCCGACCTTCAGAGCGCAGACTGAGAGGGGTCGGGTCGCCATGACCTTTGCACTGCTCCACCTCTGCCTGGGTAAGTTGTCGGATGGTGTCGTGCTCCCGGAACTACCGGCCGCTCACGCTCGGGGCTGGGAAGGACGGGTGCAGCCGGGCTCATGGGGCTCCCCTCACCACCGATAGCTCCCTCCTGAGTGAGACTCACGCGGCTGCTCTCCTCACTGACGCGGCTCCGGCCGACCTGGGCCCAGTTCATATATAGAACCCATTTGCTGCTAAGGGACTCTTATTGGAAAGGGGGACCCAGAAAACGGGTTCATATAGCCATCCTTACACACCGACACCAATGTTACCAAAAGTGTCCCTTTGAAAACTGACAATTTGGAAAAGTGGCACTTGTCGGCTGGCATTTCCGTTTGAATTGGGCCCTGATCTGAAGCCTGAAAGCTGATATATGGTGATTACCCATGTAGTATATATGAGACATATTTCAATGCGATATACCAGGCAAGAACATGGTATGCTAACGAAGCGTCCCATTGAAATGTCCGAACACTGAAAGTGGTTTGACAGGGATTTCGAATTCATAAATTAGTTGGACAACACAGTCGTGCGCCCCTTTTACAGATGCTTGATAAAACAAATAATCATTAATTAGATACATGTCTTGACATAAATATTTCGAATGGAATCGGCTGTTTGGCGCCTGAACCTAGCAAGTGGCCTAAATGATACGCATTACGCAGTGCAGTGGGCGGAGAAGTGAATATAAATATGTCACACTCACAGTGTCATAAAGTGGCCCCTAAATACCACAATTCATAACATGAGCGGTTGTATCTCGCTTGTAAGACCCTCCATCTGCTAGCGATATGTTCTGGTGATTATCCACCGAGGGCAGGCGAGCTAACGTTAGATCGTAGCTCATGTTGGCATCGGTTTTGGGCACGTGCTAATCAGCACCTCCATGTGACTCACATAATATTGCCATGTTTTCAGTACATTAAACTCGAACAAAAGTGATCCTACCGCTCATAACTGAGCCCGGGGCCGAGTTATAGCTGAGCGGCATTCGGTGGCGGCGGGTCCCCTGGGGCGCGGGTCTGATAACCACCTCAGTGGCCATCAGATACCGGGCTGATGGCGGCCGGCCGGCCGGCGATCCGGGGTAAGGTCACAGGTGCCCGGAGGGCTCCCGGTGGACAGCGGGGGGCAGCTCCCGAACCGTCAGACTGACTGATAGGGAGACGTTTACAGCGGATCGACAGACCGACAGACAAGGAGAGATTCTTTGCGGACCGACAGACCTACCTACATACAGACCTGCGGACAAAATGGCATCCCGATGGATTGGCTGGTAGGTATCCTGTCACCGGAACGAGTCGACGTGTGTCATTGAGTGAGGGGCTCCATATATGACCGATAGACCAACTCGACTCGCTGTGGGGCTCCTTTGCCTGATAGACTCGCCGACAGCGAGGGGTAGGCCCTGCAGTCTGACGGACCGAGGCGGTAATCTGATCCTGACCGAGAAACGGGGATGGAGACCTGGATAACTAAAAAATAGGCATGAACAGAAAATTACAGTATCCAAGCAGTGTCAGTGGTAGGAACTAAGGGACCGCAACGACCGTCATTAATGAAACATGAAAACATCTCAATCTGACGCTGTGGGCGGAGCCGGAGAGCCGTATAAAACGGCCTCCTGATATGGGGCCATCGCAGGCGCACAGCCTGCGGTGGCCCCACTCTGGACAATTAGCAGTAACCGGCTGGCCAGACAGCGCGTAATACGTGCCGCGCTCTCGACACTCGTCAGCCGGCCCTTATCGCCGTCATTGTTTTGCTATCACGCCCCGGATCACACCATTACGTCACCGCCACCGTTATTCCATCCATCCGTCAGACTCCGCCGGTATAATCGTCGGCGTATCAAATAACAGCACATAAACATGGAACAAATGATAAATAAAGAGGTAAAAGACGATCCACTGGTGTAAAAAACGAGGCGTTGTCAAACAAAATCATACATTTTTTGACAGCCTACATTTTTGTGCTTTCCACTCAAGCAAATCGCAATGAATTAGGTATACCTACCTACATGATCTTGACATGGCAACGATATTGTTTTGCGCATTTCTTGCACTGCGTATGAAATCCATGATAAAGCAGCGTGCGAATACCTTCTCAGTTCACTCCCTGAACCCTGTCTGCTGTTTCAGTGACTGCGGGGACGTTGGCGGTCAGCTCGGCCCAGACGGTGACCTATCTGGGCCGCCCTCTGCGGGACCGGACCGCCGCCGGCAGCACCCGACCCCCACCCCGGTCACCGGCGCACACCCTGCCGCTGGTGGATGAGCTCAGCGTGCTGCTCTCCGAGTCCCGACGGCTGCTGGCGCGGCGCGGACACAGCCAGGGAGGACAGCAGCGGACGGCCGCACGTCGGGCCGGGCCAGGGAGGGTACCGGCCGGAGCGGGTGGCGCCACCTACCTCAGTGCTGCCCTCTACCCAGCTGCAGGGCTGGCGGACCGAGCGGCCAAAGCCAGCACTGGGAATAGTGCAAATGATAGCGGTAGGGAAAACCGACCACAGGAGCACAGCACGTTTCTAGCTGCAGATAAACAAAGCAATTTTCTGGACCAAACCCTAAGCCCAAGAGCGAGTGGCGGTGTGCATGTTTGGCGTAAACTCGACAGTACCGTTACATCCAAATCTGGCATTGGTGAAGACGAACCAAAGCTGCTGACCAAGTTCGAAGACGATCAGGATATCTTGGCCCATGAGTCGTCCTACACCTCGTACGAAGCAAGTTCCTCGTCTGTTACAGCCGAGCGTAAGACGACGGCTGCAGTGCCGTCCGGAACGATCCCACTCTGGGGTCTGCCCATTGTAGCCCTTTCCTCTACTACCGCCGACAGCCGCGCCTCTGGCGGGCGCAAGCGGTCGCCCTCCGCCACCTTCAGCCCCACTATGCGGCCTGGGACAGGTGGCGCCCGATTCGGCAGCAAAGCCGACACAGGTAGCGCCGGAGTCGCTGACGACGGCAGCACGGCCACCTCGACCCCTGCCGGCAAAGATAACGTGCCGGGCCGGCCGGGCCGCGACTACCCGACCTTCTCAAAGCCTCCGGTCACGGGGTTCAGCTGCCGCGGCAAGGTGCCCGGCATGTACGCCGACTTCGAGACTCGCTGTCAGGTGAGACTCAGCCACACTCATTTCTCTAATTTCTGTGAATTATCAGAGGACAGATCTGTTTATGGAGTTTTGGGTTAGTACCCAGCCGCTGCCCACAACTGAGTACTGACGTGCTATAGCGTTGTGTCTGAGCGACAGCTCCCCCTGTGTCGGCAGGTGTGGCACTTTTGTCACGAGAACGGCCACCACCGGTTCCTCTGCGTGGCCGGCACCGTCTTCAGTCCCATCAGTCGCACCTGCGACTGGTGGTACAACGTCGACTGTCGCTACGACGCCTTCCCGCCCTTCTGAGCGCAACACCCGTGACCTCTGTGACGTTATATCGTCTGACCTAACCTGGCTGGTGAGCTGTTAACGTCGGGGCAGAATTTATGAAACGCTGGGATGTTGGAACGGTCCAGCATGACGACAGTGGCCCTAGTGTCCGAGCGTGTTCAGAAAGGCATCATCGGCGGTGTGGCCAGTGGCAATTAGCTGTCAGTGATGTCAGGCGACCTGTGAACTTTGTGAGGTGGTCATCGTCCAACAGCGTAACAACAATAAACGATGGAAAATATACTGACTTACATACATGGTCATGTCTCTTGTCAATACAAACACGGGCGACAACCTGTCGCCCTGAACGAGACAACTCCAGAATGATCGCGTAACGAGCAGTGCCGGCGTAAGAGCAGTTACGCCCGCCCCACGATAAGTTAATTCGAATCGATGGATCCATATCCCCATCCCTAATTCCGCCTGGAGACCCAGCAGGAGATGGTGACCAGTGGTGACGCAAAAATGTCATGATAAACAGCCGAGGGGCGAGGACCATTCAGGAGTAATCGGAACTGCGTCATTTGAAAGTTTGTGCGCATGAGTGAAGTCACAGGTCATACCGGGTGGCCCAAAAAAAAAAACGTTCCCAACTTTGGAGGCCTATATCTCAAATTGGAGTGCAAATAACGAGCCAAAATTTTCATCAAGTTTGCATCACTTCTTTGCGCATTGGCATACTAAATTGTAACACTGTACCATCATTTTCAAGCCAGCAATCTTATGTTGAATCAAGTAAGATGTTTTTGCTTTTTTTGCCGATGTTGAACGGAAGTGATGATTGGCTTGGACGTACTACGTTAGAAAAAGATAGTAAAATAGAGCACGTGAATGAAACCAGCACGTATGTTGTTATTTTAAATATTTTTTTATCCCACTTATGTGCCAAATATTCAAATAATGAGCCAAAATGGTGTTAATGGATGCCATTCGTTTCAACGCTAAGTCCTGTTTCGAGCAGAAGGAGTGGCACGGTGCATGGGTTACTGCTCATCGCCCTCCCTTCAAGAAGATCAAACAGTAAATCGACCGAATAAAGAAAAAAGCTAGCCGGAATGTATCACCCTGCGGCCTGAACCATCAATGAGTCTAGCTGTCAGTAGCAGTCATGGCTGCAGGCCGTGGTGCCGAGATGGAAGTGGCCCGTTCACTCACAGTTTTTAGTAAACATCTGAGCAAAAAAGTAATTTTTACATGGCATGCTAGAAACACGAACCGTTTAAAAAGTAATTGACCGAATAACATAAAAATCATACCATTCACGGAAAATATAGGCCGCATTGACTATTGGAAGTTTCAGTGTTGCATCTTTATCACTTTCTGAGAAATATTGATTCAAAGTTGGGAACGTTTTTTCTGGGCCACCCGGTATATCCATCGTGTTGCTCAATACTTTCACTTAGCAATATCAATTGATATGTTATCGTTTTACCGTTTCGACACCGAGACGCAATGAGGCATGACCGACGCGGGACGTGCCGCGACTCGAGTCCGTGCTATAATTCACATGGCTCGGTTACGTTCCAGCACACCGTAACAAATCGTACCGGCCCCCGGTAATCCAGCCCCATTGAGAAGCAGCGGCCTCCTCTCAGCAGCGTCAATAGCTGATCAGCGGGCCGGCCGCGCCGACAGCGGCCAGCCCGACCCACCGGCGCTCTTACACATTTTTCACCACTTCTATCCTTGCGCGCATAGCGTATCAGAGTCAGTCGGACTATTTCTTCGTCCGCCGCCCGGGAGACTCATCTGCGCGGGTCTCGGAGAGGCTCCCGGTCCGCCGGCGGCGCCCCGCTGCTACTGTTACATCACCGACGTGTCCAGTCGCCAATCGCTCTCACCGCGCCCCGGACTGGACATCTGGTGGACGAGGCCGCTGGACGAGTCATCCGCCCCGCGCGGCACGCACAAAAGGGTTCAAAGGCGTGGTGAGAAACGACGATACCCTTCTCACCGTTATGTATAAAAAACGGCAGGTTATTCAGCTTTTGACGCCTTCATTAGTCTGATTGCTGCTAGCTACAAATTGAGACTTGAGAGTTTAAAATGATATTTAATGCAGTTGCTGTCCGCACACAGACACAGTTTATGTCAAATGGTGCTGAACAAAGTCTAGTGTCCGATGGTGCCGTCCCTAGCTGACGCCCGGTGGTGCCGTCCCAAGCTGACGCCCGGTGCAGTGCTGACCCGGAGATGCCGGCCGTCCAGCGTCTAATGCTGGGTTCGCTGGCTCCATGTGTATTTTAGCTGGGAGTATTCCCGTGCCATTCAACTGGTCTGTGAGGAAAACTGAACCGTGTGAACTTATGTTCAACTGTGAGAAACCCATGCTGCTAATTTAGTATTTAACCCGATCCATCGGCAAGCATCTAGGCACGCAACGTAAGTCATAGCATGGCCTTATTTTGCATGCTCTAGACGAGCTTTCTTCTTGCAAAAGCTCGTAGACCTGATCCGACCAACTTCGATGATCGGCGATTCGGCTGCGCCAACTCAAACCTTTGTAATTAGCGCGGCGTTGCGCTGCGGCCGTCGTGCTGTTACAGCGGTCAGAGTATTGTGTGCGCCCGTCCGGCGGCTCTGCACGGGGCGCCGTTGCGCCACTGTCCGTGGTGACAGATGCAACGCTAACAATGCCGCCGGTCTGCACGGCCCCGGTGAGGCGGCACCTTCGCGGCCCGTGATGACGGAGGCAGTGCGAGCGACCGTTTTCGGGCCCAGCGGAGCAGAACCGAGGGCGGCCGGCGCCGAGTGGCAATAGTACCAGATGGCATGGCCGTGCGTAATTGGCCGCCTTGCCAAACTGGGTATGCCAATGACAGGACGGCCGAGGGCATGGGAGCCGCCCGGTGACGAAAACAAGTGTGACTGAGCGGGTGAGACTCGGTGCAGACTGCAGAGTGGCTTCTCATAATGTGAGCAAGCCGCCGTGCTGCTGATGCCTACGTACCGAGAGAAAACACTTGATGAGGTAAAGTTATCCTTGAACCGTCAAAGGAGTTTGCTTTAGTCCTTCTGATTGCGCTCTACGATGCCAGTGGGCCCTGCCCTGGACGTATTTTGCCGGTTAAGTTGTGGTCCAGCGGCCCCACGGTCGCCCCGCCGGGGGAAGACGAGACGTGCTCGGTCGACCGGTCACTGGTCAGGGGCGGGGCCTCCGAGAGAGTGAGAGCCGGCCCGGCGCCTCTGCCGCCACCAGCGCGTGCACATCCATAGCGCGCGCTCCATCATGTGTGACGCTGCCTGCCGTGCAAGCAAGGCGACTCGGTACATTGTTCTGTCATCAGCAGCCTAATTGCGGCAACCACAAAAACAATATCCAGCGACAGCTAAGGCGAATCGGAGGCGGTGATACGAATGTCATCGATATTGGGCAATCACGTGTCAGTCGGCAATCCACATGCAGCGGTGTCCTTGTCCTTTGTTGACCAAACATTGCGCTTCTTGTAAACATGGGCGAGACGTGTCATGTGACCCGTGCCGGCAGTGTAGCGGCGCCGTTCGCGATCATCCCGTGCCGGCAGCGGCAGATCTGTGCTGCCCGCGGCGCTCTCCCGAGACGATCGACTGCTGACCGCCTCAATGGGAGCCAGCACGGGCTTTATCGCGGTGTCTGTTCCCAGGATATTCCCTGGAGATGCGATTTTTCTCGCCGCAACTCTCGCACAGTCAGTCAAGCTGGTACTGGCGTGACCGACGACTGACGGCCGTCTATCACACACATGCGATCTGCAGTTCGTACTATGCAGTCTGTATGCCCGACTAGTCAGACTGTGTCTAACCGATACATGTAGATATATTGTTGTGCGGTATTCAAAAAAAAAAAAAAAAAATCCTTCACTCTCCACGTTTTCGCAAATACAGTTAAAACAGGAGCGCACAGTCGTGCTTTTTGGAACATCTTATGTAGTACCGTCTGTAAAAGTAGATCAAGTGCTGTCTCCCCTGGTCAAATGTCGGCTCCATCTGGTCTGGCATCGAGTCCCGCTCCGATCTTTTCCCGGTACAATTAAGTCTCTTCCTGGTCTGGTGCCGTCTCCCCCAGTACAACGTCGTCTCCTCCCGATTCAATACCATTTCCCCCTAACCAATGTCATTTCCTCCCGGTCCAATGCCGGTCTCCCCTGGTCCAATGCCGGTCTCCCCTGGTCCAATGCCTCCTCCCGGTCCAATGTCATCTCCTCCTGGTCCAATGCCGGTCTCCTTGGTCCAATGTCTCCTGCTGGTCCAATATCGTCCCCCCCGTTCCGATGTGGTCTCCCTCGGTCCAATGCCATCTCCTCCTGGTCCAATGTCTCCTCCCGGTCTGATGTCGTCTCCCCTATCCGAATCGTCTCCTGGTCCAATATCTCCCGGTGCAATGTCGTCTCCCCCCGGTCCAGCGCCGTCTCCTCATGTCCAATGTCGTCTCCTGGCGTCAGCTGCCGCCGCCGTCGCGCAGAGTCCAGTTTCTCCACCGTCACGGGGAGGGGTCGCAACGTCACCTGAGTGACGCCTCCGTCATCAGCGGTGGCGGCGGCGGCGGCGTCACCGGCCTCCGTCACCGTCACCGGCGGTCAGTGGGCGCGCGACGGTGACCGGGCGAGCAGGCCGCGGCGGCGGGCGGCGAGGGCGGCAGCCATGAGGGCGCTGACGGCACTGCTGGTGCTGGGGCTGACGCTGGTGCTGGTGCGGGGAACTGAGGCCGCCCATGGGATGGTGCAAACCACTGGAGGAGCAGCGGCCTTAACGGGAGGACTAAATAGTGCGGATGAGGCCTCAACAGCAGGACAGTACGACGGAGAAACGGGCTCAGATGCAGCAGCTTATGACGAAGAAACGAGCGACGGAGCAGCTGATCAGCAGAAGGACACGGTCCCAGCAGCAGTTTTGTACGGTGAGTACAGCCGTGTGCCCATTGACGGGGACAACCGGGCGGTTATTACCTTTTGGGGAGGAGGGACAACTTATCGCCGATAGTAGCCAATGGAGAAAAAGGTGAGACGTATAAGGCACACGACTCCCCTACTGCGTGTGAAATTGACGAAGTTTTGTCGCTATCCTCACAAAACAAAATTTAACACTTTTTATTAGAATTTAGAAAGCGAGTATTTAACTGCAAAGCAGCGGAAGTGAAATCTGACGCGTTTTTAGATATCAGAGCCATAAGCGTAGGAACCATGGTCCATGGGTGCAAGGGTGCAGCTGCACCCACAATATTTATCCAGTGGGTGCAGACAATGTATTCTGCACCCACAATAAT